AGTGTGAGGAACAGTGTTTTGGCAGGGAAAACTGCCACGGAGAAAGCAGGGGTCTGTGATAGGGGGGTTGTGACAGACTGCACTTTAAAATGTTACAAGTGCTGTATAAATATATGAAGAACTGTGAAGGGTTAATGCCTCACTGAGCTAGAGAGTCTTGAGTGACAGGTGGCTCAAAGGGATTTGATTGGCTAGTGTCAGTTGAACAGAAAGACTTGGACCAATTTCGCACATGTAACTTACCTCTGGTTCTCGGCGGGGCAGTTTGCCCCGGATTGTCTGAGTCAATTTCCCATTAAGCTTTTGGTGCACGGCTGTTTGTAATCTGCCCCGGGTTTGCTCCCAGAGTTTCATTTTTGCATTACAGTCTTGGTGAGGTTTCCTGCAGCTTCTCTCCTCCCATTCCCGGTCCTCGCCCTCCTAACCCCTCCCATTCCCCCTTCAATTTTTTTCTTTTTTTTAAACATATGTGCAATTGCATTACAATGTTATGACACAATAAAAGGAAGGAACAGGCATCATGTGGTACATCGCCACTTCTTGACTGGGCATCTTTTGACTTTGTGCCGAGAATTTTGAAAAAATTCAAAATCGATGTCCTTCATCCCACAATGCAATCCTTCCTTCCTTCCTGTTCAGTTTTTCCCGCCACTGTTTCTGCAAATTGATTGGTCAGAGAGGTGGCCACATCGCATTGATTGGCCAGATGCTCTTATCTGGCTTCAACATGTTGGACAAATTGCCAGGCATAAAATGGTGGATTCAGGTTTTGCAACATTTACATCCACGAGTTATAGCAATGCCACCACCATAATATAAATCCAGGAAATGACTAAAAGTTTAAACTCCACTTTAAACCACCCACCACCACCCCCTCCAGCCTGCAGCTCTCTTGGTTGGGATGAAATTGTCACCGTGCTTGGTGGACGTGCTCTCGTAAAAAGGAATTTTTAAAGCCACCAGTGCATAAATCATATGGAACAATGTGAGCAGACCTGCCCAAAATACTTGCACTAGAAGGGCAAGTAATTGCAAGCTACTCTTGCGGGCCAGCATATTTCGTGTCCTCAACATCTCGTTACAACAATCCATCTATATTTTCATAGAAAATGTTTTTGGAACACTGGGCTGAAATGCCTAAAAATAACATACAAAATGCGTAAAGAGTCATGTAAAGATTTATTGCTGATATTCCGAATGGTAGCCAGCGTCCATATTTCGCAGCCGCAATATTATGTTATAAAGTCACAATTTAAAAAAGCAAACAAACAAAGAGGGGTGGCTGGGCGAATGGGCATAGAAAAAGGGGGGGAAGGGAGGGTGCATTTAGGATTCCCTGCAAGGCACCAGGAAACATCTGGGAAATTAAGGATCAAGCTGAACCGGGGCAAATTGGGGGAAGATTCGGGATAAAAGGCGGCTGTGGGTCAAATAGTGTGAAATTGACCAAAAACCCCAGAGGGAAACGAAGAGCGAGCCCGGGACAAAGCCTTGTGTGAATTCAGTCTTGGGAACTGACTGCTGAGGAAAACTGGGAGTTTAACTCTGACTGAGGACTGGGAAGGTTGCCAAGGAGGAGTAGGAGGATCAGTGAAGACCCCCCATTTGGGCCAGGAAAAGGGACAGATCTTCTAATTGGAGAAGTGATTCCCTGCCCCAGCTGATAAGAGAGATAGCTCTAAAGAGTGGAGTGATCCCTGGTGTGTTTAGAGAAGGAATTTGGCCTTCTGAAACCTGAAGAGTCAGTTAAATTCAAGAAAGTATACTGGAGTGTTTAGAAAACACTGAAATAAAAGCCTCTCATCTCAAAGATTCTAAGACTGTGTGAAGAGCTTAAAAGTTTAACTTGCTGGAAACATATGAACTGGAGTTTGTGATTATATCAAGTTAACTCTGAGTTATATTTGATTTACCTCAGACAGTTTAGCCCTGATTTCCCATGACCTTTCCCCTCTACATTGAATAAAATATTTTGTTTATTTTTGAACATTCTAAAGCCTCTTGTGTGCCATTTTCAGAAGTTTAAATTACAAGGGTGATCTTGTCTCTGTCCTCACATTCCTGGGTGAAGCCAACCTCAGAATATCATACTGTGACAGGCTGGGACAGCTACAGATTTTCAGGAAAGAAGAAAATAGATAAAGGGGCTGCTTGGTCAGAAAGGAAGAGAAAAATGGAGGGAATATCCTGCGTCTGAGGGAGGGAAGAGGGCAAGGTCACTGAAAGGTATGCAGACGGAGAGTGATTTCAGCAAAGCGTACTTTATTCGAACAGGAACAAGACAACTTTGGCCGGCTCGCAGGCTGGCTTGTATCCCCCGAGAAACCGCCACCCAAAACACCCAAAACACACCCCTACTTCCCAATGGGTTATTTACCGTGGCCAAGAGTCCCATAGGCTCTCGGCCGGGAACCTAGCCCCCTGATAGGAGCGGGCTAGGATCCGCATAGTCCATTGTCTCTTAGAGCGAAGCTCGACATTTGTGTCTGACCGCATGGAGCCCAAGCCGGCCACGCGGTCTGGACTGGATACACTACAGTCACCATAGGCTTTTTTTGCCATTATTTCCATGATCAACCCCCAAAGGGGGTTGTATTTTACTGCCTCACTGACTCACAGCAAGATACAGATACTTGACGATATTTGGTGCCTTGTTTTACCTCACTCTAAACTGGTAAAGGGGAACTGTTCCCTTTATTGGGATGCTTCTAAATTGATAATAAGCTCATTTTGAATGGGACCCCATGGACTGCTTAGTTATGATTTCAGATAGCCTTCAGATTTCAATTAGCATTGCACATATGCAATTGAATTCTTATTGACTACTTAATTCAAGGCACAATTTAGAGTGACAACATTTACATCTTTTAATGGAGTCCTCTCATTTTGGCTAAATAGCACTATGATCATGTGTCATTTTACCTCTGGTTCAAACTGGCTAAGGAGCTATTCAGTTGGTAACCAGCCAGTAAATGGCCTAAAGCAGAATAGTTTTAGGGTCAAGCCAGACATTAACATGTTCTGTACACACTTCACTCCGCCCAAACTACAGCTTGCTTCCTCTACTGCCAGCACTTCTGTTTGTGCAATATCAATAGCTTTCGGTGAGTCTCATGCAAACAAAGGTACAAGCGACACAGGAACCATCCTGTGTGGCCACTGGAGCAGACCATGTGTGGAGCACAGTCATGGGTTCCAAGCCATTATGTGGGTGATCCATGACTGGATCTCCAGATCTTCTGGGAGTGGGATTTGGTTCAGAGAGGAGGTGGCACTGGAGGGGGACAGGTTTAATTCTTTCCGCAGGCACCCTTTTCCTGAAAGAAGTGCCTCCAATCTGCTGTTATCTGTGACAGGGAAAGAAGGTGGCTACAACACTAGTATCTTCCCTGACCCGGCTAGCCCAGGCTAACCCAATCTCATCAGATTTCAGAAGCTAAGCAAGGTCCACCCTGGCTAGTATTTGGATGGGATACCACCAAGGAATATCAGGGTCACGATGTGGAGGCAGGCAATGGCAAAACCATCTCTGAACATCTTTGCCTAGAAAACCCCATAGGGGTGCCATAAATCAGCTGTGACTTGATGCCACTTTCCGCCACCATCTTCCCAGGAGTTGGGAGTTGCGGTTATGAATCTCTCACATAACTTGGAGTGTTCATTACAGAGAACGGGTCATATAGGAGACTCATGTTAAGCAGAGCGGTGTGTATAACTTATGATAAACAGAAGTTTTCCCACATTCAGCACAACACATTTAGTGCAAAGTTTAAATAAAGTAAAGGTAAAGGTTCCCTTGCTCGAAAGCCAGTTGAATCCAACTCTAGGGTTGCGGTGCTCATCTCCATTTCAAAGCCGAAGAGCCAGCACTGTCCGAAGACGTTTCCGTGGTCACGTGGCCGGCACGACTAAACACCAAGGCGCACAGAACGCTGTTACCTTCCCACCGAAGTGGTACCTATTTATCTACTTGCAACTTCTTGCTTTCGAACTGCTAGGTTGGCAGGAGCGGGAACTAGAGACGGGAGCTCACTCCGTCATGCGGCACCCGGGTCTCGAACTGCTAAACTACGACCTTCCACAGCCTGCAGTTCAGCGTCTTAACCACTTGAGCCACCGCAGCTCAAACAAACAACTTAAAAAAAAAACCTTAAACAGAGTAATGGTGTGTTAATCCAGATCTGCATATCATAAAGTCTAAAGTGAGAAAGAGAACACATGGGCATCTTCTAGCAACCTCTGCATTTCTCTCTCAAAAAAAGAAAACAATCTAGAACCGTCTGGGAGCAATGGGAAAGCAGAGAATAGAGCAGTTATCATAGGTCAGCGGTGGCAAATAGGGTAGGAGGAGGTGTTGGAGTGGTAGAGAGGGAGAGTCGTATAAGACTTTCTCTGCCAAGTTATCAATCATGCTGGTATTAAGAACAATGACTTTGCATTGTTCTACTTGTGACATTAGCTACTACAATCACCCATTAACTCAGGCTTTCCTTGGTATGGAGCAGACTTCAGACTAGTTGATGATTTGGTTGCCCTTTATCTGTTGCACAGAAGGAAATGGCAGGGGCATCAGCATACCTCTAAGATTCTAAGGAATATGCAGCAATTAATCTGAGCATACAACACAGTTTTAAATTGACTCTGATGCAAAATGATTTAAGGATGTGACATTTTGCTTTATGTCCTTTGCTCAGACGGGTCAGGAAATTGTCTTAAAGGACATGATTTTTTTTATCCCATGACACTATCATTAAAAAACCCCCATTTATGAACAAATTGAGATGCAATTGTTATAAACGTTCCAAAAATGATGAACTACTCAGAGTACACTCAGTTGCTGAAACACTGTTAACTCCTTAAGCTTTTTCTGGGGTAGGAGTACAAAAGAGAACATGAGCAAGGCCTGCTACAACCACAGCATCCCAGCATGCTCACTTATTTTGCCATTTCCTTCCTTCCTCCCCCTCCCCTTCATTGTCACTTGGCTATGAAATTCTTACCTTCTCTCTGCCTGTTGCGTAAACATTTCACCTTAGGTAGCTTGACCAGCAAACGGCAATCGTCAGCTATGAAAACACAAGGAGAGAGCCATGTACATTTTTACTACTTTCACAAGCTTTCAGGTCAGATAATTAGCAAGAGGAAAGTGGGACGAGTAATAAAAAGTTTGCCAATGCACACCTTAGGTCCATGTGACAGAGCTGACAATGTTTGGACCATCAAGCGCTACAGCAAATAAGCCCTTAGAAGACAGCATCTCATTCTGCTCTTAGCATCCTCGGTTTTTCAGTTTCATGAAGGTCTCTCCTAGCAGCCAGCACTCTTTCTCTGCTCACACAAACACACCCTTTCCCCCACACCTTTCCATTTTCAAATGTAAGGCAACCACTTACGATCATCACTGAAGTCGTCAACCAATATGATTTCATGGACCAGATGCACAGGGGTTCGGTTCAGAACACTGGGGAATCAAAAGAGAAAATAAATGCCAAAAGAAAATTGAGTGCACATGAATTTCCATATGTGAGAGGCTGGGCAAGATCACCACAAGACAAATACTACTAACTCCACACTATCTGAGGCAATTCAATAGGATCTGCTAGACCAGAGGTGTCATACTCATTTGTTATGAGGGCCAGATCTGACATAAATGAGACCTTGTTGGGCTGGGCCACATGTATCATAAAATGTAATGCCAGGTAGCGGAGATACAAACCTTATAAATGACACAGAAAAACACAGAGATTTTTAAAACTTTAAATAAAACATGCTTAAAACACTAGCACTCTTGCAATATTTTTTTCTATTTAACAGTTTCTGATACCTAACACTTCTTGCTCTGAATTACTGCATCAAAATGCCTGTGCTGTAGCAATTTTGAGTATGCTGTTCAGGTGTGTATCTGTAAGCTGCAACCGTACTTTTGATTTATTAACATTCATTACAGAAATCTCATGCTCAGTATTCTGAGCTTAGGACCCAGGGGAAAACACGAAATGGCTGGGCATTGCAAGCTTTTGTACATAAGTTGTTTCATGTCCTGGTCAAGAACATGAGAAGGTATCCTGACACAGACTGAGGGCCATGTATTTGTCTACAAAATTATAACTACAACTTCCTACAAAGGAAATGTGCTGGGTGAACGTTGTCTGGACACACAGCCTAATCTACCTCACTGGCTTGTTGTTATTTCTCCTCTAAAATAGTTCACATTGCTGAGAAAGACTGGATCATGAGGGAACCCAGTTGCAAACAGGAGAGCCCTGGCATAAGGAGCCCAACAAAACACACACACGTTGTAGCAAGGCACACAAAAGCTCATACCTTGAGCAAAACTTTGTTGGTCTTAAAGGTGCATGGTATTTCTCCCATACAATTGAGGCAGCCCTGCAAAGCAAGCTTTCCCTCATTCCCTCCCTCCCTCCCTCCAGGCAGGCGCCTCAGCCAGTGGAAGGAAAGAAAGGCTTCCCTTTGTCTCCTGTATACAATTGAGGCAGCCTGGCCAGGAAGTGAGCTCTGGCTGGTTCCCTCCCTCCCTCCTCCTCAGCCAGCGCTTTACCAAACTCTCTCAGTTGCACAGGAGTGGCTTGCCTATCTATCTCTCCTGGGTGGCTAAGAGAGTCTGGTAAAGCAAGCTGCGACGTAGCAGCAGCAGCAGAACTAGAAAAGGAGCAGGAAACAGCTAGGGCCTTGCAGGCCAGATTGGGGCCCTCTGAGGGCCTGGTCTGGCCCGCGGGCTGTATGTTTGACACCCCTGTGCTAGAGAACTCAAAACTGTCCACTAGCTTTGCATCTCTTGGAATGCTCAGAGATGGGCAGCCACCAGCTTTCTGAAAAATGGCAGCTGGAAATAAGAAAGAAATTTCCAAGATCATCCAGGTCAAATGAAGCAACAGATGCACCTGCTTCCTTTAGGGCATTACCATATATCCTTGGCAAAGGGGCAGTTCCTTCTAGCTAAATCTAACCAGCCAAGAGAAGCAGGAACACTCATAGCTGACCAAAACATGAAGCCATGAATTGGGCAGCTAGAACTACTTTGCATACCAGTGGCATTTTAGAAAAATAAATGGAGCCAATGTGATATAGTGGTTACTCCGTAAGAGTATACAAAGGAAACAAAGATTCAAATCCTCACAAATCCATCCAATGATTTGGGTCACTCCCTCCTAATCTACATCACAAGGCTGTCAGGAGGACAAAAGGGAGGGACCATTTATTGTCACTCTGAGTTTCCTGGAAGAGGGGCAGGATAAAAAAGGTGATAGTAAAGTCAACTAAAGAAAAAAATACGCCAAAGTTGCTCAATCAGTTTCCCGGGAGAATACTGCAATACAGTGGGCTGACAAAGCAATGTTTTTGTTTTACAGGCACATATTTATGCTCTTGCGGCTGTCACCATTGAGACAGAAATGACATCAGAAAGCACATGAGAGAAAATACTGTTGTTTATAAAAAGAATGACCTGTGTAACTGGTGGGAATGTCAGCATCAGGAAATGCCAATTTCAGCAGAATGTATAACAGGTGGGAATGTCAGCACTAGGAAATGCCAATTTCTGCAGATAGCAAGGTATTGTGGATGTCTTCAATGATACGTTGCCAGAACCATTATAACTGTGAACGCTTAAATTACATGGACAGATTGCTTTGAACCGATGGATTGCCTAACCAAATAAATATTTCCGTATGGATGCTGGTATGAAGATGTTTAACATACATAAGAGTTTCCCTTCTTTAAATAACACTGACAAACTGCTCATTGTTCAGAAAAACAATCTTCAGTTTGTTAGCTGTTGTAGATTTTTCCGGGTTGTCTGGCCGTGGTCTTGGCACTGTAGGACCTCTGTGTTATACCTCTGAGGATGCCAGTCACTTGGCACTGTGTTATACCTCTGAGGATGCCAGTCACAGCTACTGGCAAAACGTCAGGTCCTACAATGCCATGACCACGGCCAGACAACCCGGAAAATCTACAACAGCTAATGAACTCTGGCCGTGAAAGTCTTCAACAACATAATCTTTGGTTTCTTGTTGAAATATGAGAAAGATGCCATTTGCTACCCTTTGGGAACAAGAACTTCTCTGAGAAAAAAAAATCAATGAAAAATTATCTTCGCAATTGGCATTTGATGGGCACATTGATGAAAAATATTGGTTAATTAATGCATTCTTTTCCATATTTAACATGTAGAATCACAAAACCCTACAGTTGTTTTGCCAGAAGATGACTGTGGAATTAACTACAAATCTATATTTGAGAACTTTTACTCAGTATATTTACCTTGTTACTCGGAAGCAGCGCATTTCAGCATATATTTTAACCACATACACACAACATACTTTGGCTGGGTTAGCTTCTACATCTAACCTAGGAGCTTGTCTTCCTCAGTCCCCTCCAGATAAGAGAGTACATGGTAAAACGTCAATGTGTACTAGGTTGTCCAAATTAGACCTTGCAAGAGAAACTCTACAACCTATTTCCATCAGCAAATAAAACTTTCCTTTGATAGGAAAAAAGTTTTCTATAGGATGAGAGTGAATTTACTATAGAAATGGAAGTGAAAATTGCAGTTATTTGTTTTCTAGAAGTTCTAGGTATATAATACTTATAAGTATTAGATTCCTGTTCCCAGGAACGCTAAACAATATGCCCTTTTTTCAACTGCAAAAGCTTGCATTGTTTCACAGTTATTTAGACCTAGCTAAGCTGAGTCATCTTTAGCTTGCTATTGCTGTTACAGGCAGCTAAGGGTAATGTCTTTAGGGTTACCAACCTCAAGGTGGTGCCTGGAGTTTCCTTCGAATTACTTATCTCCAGACTACCAAGATCAGCTCCCTTGGAAGAAATGGCAACTTTGGAGGGCAGGAAAAACAGAGTGACATCACATCCATGCTTAGCTGTTCCCCCCCCCCTTCCAGGAATTTCCCAAGTCAAAATCAGCAACTCTAGATGTCATAAACTAGGGGCGTGCAAGAAAAAGAATCTTTTTTATATTTGGGTCCATTGGACCCAAAAAATATCGACATTTCCTGATATTCCTGAATCCCAGTATTGGTATGGTATTTGGATTTCGTAAATGCTTGGGAAACCTGGATTTATTCAGCTTCATCATACCCTATGGGGCTCATCCCCACAGGGTCTAATGGAGAATCAATCCAGGGGTATCTAGGGCTCTGGGGAGGCTGGTTTTTTTAGAGAGGCACCAAATTTGAGGTAGAGGCACCAAATTTGCAGCATAGCTGCTGGCGCCTCTCCTCAACACCCCCCCCCCAAGTTTCAAAAAGTTTGGACCAGGTGATCCAATTCTATGAGCTCCAAAGGACGGTGCCCCCATCCTCCATTATTTCCAAAGGCGGGGGGAGAAGACACTCAAAGGGAACACCTTCCCTTTGAATTTTGCAAGCTGTGCCACTGCAGCAGAAGCTGTCCCCAGGATCTGTGTGCGGTGGGGAGGTCTCTTGCTGCCACAGGCAGACCTGAGAAGGATCAGCTGGGATGGTGGGAGCTAAGAGCTCCACACCACCTTGGCTGGGGCTGGCTCCTCTTTCAGCAAGCTGCAAGAGGAGCCCACCAGCCATTAGATATAGCTGAGCCTGAATAAAAGCTGGATCTATTTATTTATTTTTGTCTTTTATTTGGGCTCAGCTATATCAGTAGCCAAATTGGGTATTTATTCAGCTTGGTTTATACCGAATGCACACCCTGATCGCATACTATGCAAAGGACATGCCAGCTGCCACTCATTCTACATGGCAACCGACCTGGCTCCTTGGAAAGTGAATGTGTCTGTTACACATGTTTGTAAATGTATTTTCCCCCAGTCTTAACCTTGCTTGTTTTTCTTCCCTTCCTGATTGCATTTAGATACTGCCTTTCTATCAAGATATCCAAGGTGGCTTGCTATGTAAAATTCGAAAAGACAAAACAATGAATACTGTTTCAGACAATGGGCTGACTTCTCAGGAGCTGATGGTATGAACTTCCTGGCCTGGGTATTCCTGTCTTGCTTCCTCCTCTCTTCCTTGCTTCTGTTTAATTGTGATGATCCTTAGATATGCATCTAAGACAGGAATGTGTGAAGTGGTCCTGGAATACTTGAGGTTTTTGCACTGTTGATTTGCTAAGGAAGAATGAGTTTATATGCTCTGCCCTGGGGGTTATTACTGATCCCCCTCTCCCATTTTGCCTTTTTTTAAAAAGACAGGTTTTGAACATATGGGCCACTGTAGGTTTCCAAATGCCAGTTATTAAAGACATAGTAAGAAAAAATAGCTGGCTCCTCATCCTTCCATACAGGCTCACATTTATTCCACTCTCCTTTCCTTTCCTCTCCTGCATGTGTGCACGCACAGACACAGAGACACAGTGTGAGGTTTAGATGTGCTGTTCCCACTTGTCAAGTTTTCTTTTAATTATTATTAATATTAATAGGTTTGTTGGTTCTGAGGGCTTTTTGTT